TCCAGCCAGGCCTTGTTGAATATTTAACCCTTCCACTGCTGCGCTCTTTTCATCTGCTTTTACTAAAAACGCTCTCTCAGTCTGTGAATCCTCTTCCATGAACACCCATGAGCTAGTCACTGTACATCAAGAGACATGTGCTAAGGTTCTTGACCTAGTTGTACCATTAAAAATTAGGCATCCAAAGCGCACTCCACACCCTTGGATGAATGAGATCACTCGCGCAGCTTAACGTCAATGCAGGAAAGCCGAACGTAAATGGAAGAAGGACAAACTTCAAGTTTCTTTTATCATGCTAAAATCATGTTACAAAGAGTACCAGGCCACTGTTAAATAAGAAAAAAACAAATATTTCTCCCAAATCATCGCCTCAAACAGCCACAATCCCCTCGTTCTTTTCAACACCATTAACTCCATTTTAACCGTGCCTCAGTCTGTCAACAGGGAGGCCTCTGCAGTTACGTGTGACGACTTTGCCAGTTTCTTTGTTAAAAAGGTTGAGTCGATCGGGTCACTGATTCCTCACACCACAGCTGACCCCTCTGTCTTTGTCCCCTCCACATCAGTCTTTAACCAATTTGAACCCATTTCCCTCTCATTTCTAAATGACGTCATTGGTCATATGAAACCCTCAGGTTCGCCTGCTGAACCCATCCCTGCATCATTTTTTAAACCAGTCCTACCCTCCATTGGACCCTCTGTTCTTGACATTATAAACAGCAGTATGGCTACAGGTGTGGTTTCTGACGGTTTTAAACATGCAGTGGTAACTCCTTTAATAAAAAAAAAACCTGACTTGACCCTTCAACCTGCTCAAACTTCAGACCCATCTCCAAACTTCCCTTTCTTTCTAAGATCCTGGAGAAAATAGTTTTCACTCAATTAAACGAGTTCTTGAGTGGAAATTCTATTCTTGAGATCTTTCAGTCTGGCTTTAAGAAATTACACAGCACTGAAACAGCCTTAGTTAGGGTCTGCAACGACATTCTTCTGGCAAATGACTCTGGTCAGTCTGTAGTCCTGGTAGTCCTTGACCTTACCCCTGCATTTGATACTGTGGACCACAGTATCCTTTTATCCCGGCTAGAACACTGGGTTGGGATTACTGATGCAGCGTTAGAATGGTTCCATTCATACCTGAACGACAGGAGTTTCTGTGTTAATTTTGCTAACACTCTATCTACTTCAGTGCCTCTTTCCTGTGGGGTCCTGCAAGGCTCCATTCTTGGACCCCTTCTATTTTCATTGTATCTCCTCCCCTTTGTAAGGATGGTACCTTTTTGTGGCCCGGTTTGTGTCTGTGTTCCCTCGTGCTCCCTCATTAGTTCTATTAGTGCCCTGTCAGCTTGTTATTTTGTATCTTTATTTATCATTAAATTCCTATTTTTGTATTCTGCCGAGTTGAGTCCCTGTTCTGCACTCTGGGTTCGCTTCTTCCTAGCAAATCCTAACATTACGACGCGAACAGACCAGAACCCAGCGGGCAGGGTCTCTCTCGGCAAACTCACCTTTTTTCTTTTTCCCTCCGCGAGCTAAGATGGACGAGCTCCACTCCGTCCCTGTCCTTCTGCCGTCCCACTGCCGCCGTAGTGGCAGAAGACGGTTCCGGAGGCAGTCCGCGGCGACTGGCCCGGTCTAGTCGGCTGAGCAGAATTTTAGAGCTGGTTCCGGTGTTTCTGTGGGAGCGGGTTCCGCCGCCTCACCTCCCAGGTTTCCGGTGGGGGCGAGATCCAGTGTCCCGCGGGAGCTCCGGTCCACTCCTGTTTGGTTCGGTGAGTCCGGTCCACTTGACGCCACAGGGGCGGGTTCCGTCGCCTCACCTTCCAGGTTTCTGGTGGGGGCGGAATCCGGCCTCTCACCGCCACTCCGCGCCGCGGCTGTCCAACCCAGCCTGACTGTACCTCCGGAGTGTATTCCTAGTGACTCCGTGGGGGCGTGTTACGCCGCCTCACCTTCCAGGTTTCCGGTGGGGGCGGCACCCGTCACAACACCCACACATAGAGACATTCCCTTTTTTCATTCATTTTCACCTGAGGAGATTTTTCAAATTAATCAGACCCTATTATAATTATTTCATTCTGCTAAAACTAACCCGTCTTCCTTTGATATCGTTTTGTCCCAGATGGAAGATTTTTTACTTTCTATCCCTGGTCTTTCTTTGCTCCCCGAGTATGATTTTTTATTATCTAAGATAGGGACTTTTAAAACCCCTGTCACTGCCATCCCTGAGGTGGATTCCACGCTGCACGCAGTCCCTGAGGTGGATTCCACGCTGCACGCAGCCCCTGAGGTGGATTCCACGCTGCACGCAGCCCCTGAGGTGGATTCCACGCTGCACGCAGCCCCTGAGGTGGTTTCCACGCTGCACGCAGCCCCGAGGTGGATCCTCACCTCTCCTGTTCCGAGGGGGTTCCGGCGAACGCTCCTCACCTCTCCTGTTCCGAGGGGGTTCCGCCGAACGCTCCTCACCTCTCCTGTTCCGAGGGGGTTCCGGCAAACGCTCCTCACCTCTCCTGTTCCGAGGGGGTTCCGGCAAACGCTCCTCACCTCTCCCTTTCCGAGGGGGTCCCGGCGGACGCTCCTCACCTCTCCTGTTCCGAGGGGGTCCCGGCAGACGCTCCTCATCTCTCCTGTTCCGAGGGGGTTCCGGCAGACGCTCCTCATCTCTCCTAATCAGAGGGGGTTTCGGCCGACGCTCCTCAGCTCTCCTGTTCCGAGGGGGTTCTGGCCAACTCTCCTCAGCTCTCCTGTTCCGAGGGGGTTCTGGCGAACGCTCCTCACCTCTCCTGTTCCGAGGGGGTTCCGGCGAACGCTCCTCACCTCTCCCTTTCCGAGGGGGTTCCGGCGAACGCTCCTCACCTCTCCTGTTCCGAGGGGGTTCCGGCGGACGCTCCTCACCTCTCCCTTTCCGAGGGGGTCCCGGCGGACGCTCCTCATCTCTCCTGTTCCGAGGGGGTCCCGGCGGACGCTCCTCACCTCTCCTGTTCCGAGGGGGTCCCGGCGGACGCTCCTCATCTCTCCTGTTCCGAGGGGGTCCCGACAGATGCTCCTCATCTCTCCTGTTCCGAGGGGGTTCTGACAGATGCTCCTCATCTCTCCTGTTCCGAGGGGGTTCCGGCAGACCCTCCTCATCTCTCCTGTTCCGAGGGGGTTCCGGCAGACGCTCCTCATCTCTCCTAATCCGAGGGGGTTCCGGCCGACGCTCCTCAGCTCTCCTGTTCCGAGGGGGTTCTGGCCGACTCTCCTCAGCTCTCCTGTTCCGAGGGGGTTCCGGCCGACTCTCCTCAGCTCCCCTGCTCCGTTCCTGCCGCCGCTGCAGAGGTCTCCGTTCCTGCCGCCGCAGAGGGCTCCGTTCCTGCCGCTGCCTCAGAGGGCTCCGTTCCTGCCGCCGCCGCAGAGGACTCCATTCCTGCCGCCGCCGCAGAGGGTTCCGTTCCTGCCGCAGAGGGCTCCGTTCCTGCTTCCGTTCTTGCCGCAGAAGACTCAGTTCCTGCCGTAGAGGGTTCCGTTCCTGTTTCCGTTCCTGCCACAGAAGACTCCGTTCCTGCCTCAGAGAGTTCCGTTCCTGTTTCCATTCCTGCCACAGAAGACTCCGTTCCTGCCGCAGAGGGTTTCGTTCCTGTTTCCATTCCTGCCGCAGAAGACTCCGTTCCTGCCGCAGAGGGTTCTGTTCCT